TTGTAAACTAATTCTAACTCCACACTGATAGTGGTTTAAGGGGACTTTTACTACAGCAATCTTAACATCGAATAAGCGACCTGAAGTGGTTAAGATCTATCCACAGACATCATACATTCATAGCTTTAAACAGCATGGAATGTACGTACCTCCAAAAGGCATTAAGAAACGTTCCATCCACCATCGGGGACCACAAGGACCAAAGCCCAAACGTAGTAGAGTAACCGAGTAACTTATAACGTCTAAGTATACTTTGTCTAAGAGAATAAAACATAATCATTGAGGCCGTTATATGATCGAAACCCGTTTCTTTTCTTTTCGCTTGTACAATTCATGTGAGCTTGAGTCTATGTGCTAATACCACATATAAGCCAACATTGGAATTTTCAAGCTGAGGAGAGGGGGCTATGTAAAAATAGCGGGTTCCTAATAGTAGTTGCACAGTTAACGCATATTATAAACGTATTAACGTATTAATGTTTATGAATTGGACGTGAACAACAATTGAGATATTTAAGATTCTGAACATGCGATAGTACTCAGTAGAGTATTGGACTCTACTGTGGACAATTAGGTGGTCTTCCAAATATAGATTGGTTTTTCCACTGAAATTAGAATTGTACATAATATAGGAATGATACAAATCTGACACCTGAAAATGACACTTTGGGAATCTCTAATTAACGGGAGTACCATGAGAGAGGGTCTCAGGCATGAAATGTTTATTGGTACAAACCTATGGTATAATTCGATAATGATCTCAGAGCAAGATAATCCGCTGAGAAAAGGACAGGATCAGAGTTGTTAGAATTTAGGACAACCTGGTTTTGATTCCTCCTAGCCAGCCAATTAGATGTGCCCGTCTATGCCTTAATGGGATGGGGAGCTAGGTACCAAGTGATGGGGGTTAGGTGCAGATATATACTGCACCAGCTTGGTGTTTTTGATTTGATTTTTGATTTTCTTAAGTTGGACTTAAAGATATTTTATTGGTTATTTTGAGTAGATATTTTTTTCGAGGCGTGAAATGTATAATATGCGTCCAATGAAATGATATCTAGTCTTAGTAACTAAAACATAAATAAATCTAGATCGAAGTAGTGAGTGATTAGAGCGGAGCATATAGACAATAGTCTCAGTCTAAAATCCCGTAATCTGTTGCTCACTACCAAGGGCTGAAGCTAAACTAATTTTTAACATTTTGCATTTTAACGTTTTAACGTATTGTATTCTTAACGGAAACGTCTTGATATCGTATAGTCAGCCTAGAGGAGACCGACTTTTACACTTGGGCAAGAACGCGATTCTGGGATTCTTCCCGCAGCGTGACAATCTGCTCGAGTCTGTTTGGGACACGTCTTGTGTCCCTCCGGCTTTCCGTTTGACCGCCAAGGGTCTTCCTAATCCGGTGTCCTCCCTAGACTATCTATAATATGGAGATTCTTCCCTTCCAGGAAGAAGACGTGCCAGTCTCGGTGTACGACTTTTCTCATCTGGATTGTTTGGCAGCGGGAATTGGCTTGCCAGCGCAAGAGCTTGCCGATACGAAAGCTGCTTGGAACCGTTGTGCCTACGACAAATCGCAGCCTCACGTGTTCTCGAAAGATCCCGGCTTCCGCATTCCCACCCGTTCGGACGCTATTCCGGCCCGGAGTGCCTTTCGTAATCGTGACCCTGTGAAGATCGCAATTGAACAGCGTAAATATGTGACAGAAGTAGCTCATGGTATAATTCGTCGATGTAAGGATGAGAGTGGATGGTTGGCTCCTATCGTTTTAGCCAACAAAGGTAAAGGTGAGGCTGAGAGGACTGACGACGATTACCGTATGTGTCAGGCCTATGTCGGAAGTGGAGCATATGTGACCAGGCCAATTTGCGGCGCCATACGTGTAATGCATGGCGTTGCACGGTCACTGATAATGCCAATGGCTTTAATCAGTGCACCATCGTTGAGGAGGACCAATACAAGACTCGGTTCCTCTCCGGTGATGGTCAGGTGTACGAGCGCATCGGCGCGGGGTTTGGTCATGCGGTGGTGCCAGCCCAGTGCACACAACGGAACGAACACAACTTCAAGGACGTGGAAGGATTCATGTCTTTCGTGGACGATGGCGCCATATGTACGATGAAGATGGTAGATGAAGAGTAACGGTCAGCTGTGACTAGTATTAGATAGAGGTGAGTCTACCGACAAGCAGGTCAACAGGAGGATACTACATGCGGACCAAAGTCACAGTACGCTGGGGGGAGAAGGGAGGCCGTATCTCAGTAAGCCTTTACCCCAGCTGGTGGATTTACTCACAAAGGAAGGGACGTCCTCCAATACTGCAGAGATGTCTCCGTCGGAACTGGAGGCCGATCTAGCCCACTGGCGATCACTTTGGCAGTTGGTTCGTGCTGCGGAACGATCTGGAACCAAGTTCAACGCTACAAAGTCACAGATTGCTGTTCCCAAGGCTATTCCCAAGTCCTTCTATGGGAGACTCTGGTACGACGGCTTTGTCACAATTGATGACGAACGCATGCAAGGGATTGCTAGCATTGGGTTGCCTTCGGACAAGGATCAGCTTCTCACGTTCGTATGTATGATGGCGTGGTAGTCCTGTAGCATACCGGGGTTGAGCGCCTCATTGGTCCCGCTTACCAACCAAATTCGCAAGGATGTACGCTTCGACATGAATTTGGAATGTCAGATCGCGTACGATCGTTGTATGTGGCTGTTGACAAATGATATTTGTCTCTATTCTCCGGAGCAGCACAAGAAGCTGCATGCTTATCCGGATGCGTGCGATGTCGCGATTGGCGGAGCGGTTATGGTTCGACGTGCTCCGAAGGAGGTCTTATGGATGGAGGAATGCATTGCTGGATGGCAGGCGGAGGTAGACCGCCAACGCTTGGTCCGGAAAGCGCCAACAGATTCCTTGCGCAAGGCTCTTCACGAGTGTGGTTGCGCTCAGGATGGACTCATTCGGTATTTGGAGCGTGAAGGTGTACCTCTTACGGAGCCGTTGCTTCGGTGGAAGTCGCAGTCCAAGCGGACGACTAAGGGTAAGGAGCTTGCGTTGGAACCTATTTCAGAGCAACTGGCCATGGCTCCAGTCGTATGGGACAAGCGCAAGGGTGTAGCGCTGTATGACGTAAATTACTTGTTTTGTGTCGGATTTTATTCTTCGAAGCTTCCGCCGTCCATGGGCAACTATCATGTCCTGGACTTGGAGCTAACCGCTACTGAGTTCATGATTCACAAGATTGCATTCATGATCATGCGCTCGTAGCTGCCTTTGCAACTCCACAGTGATCATAAGCCTTTAGCAACTCTGCTACAGGGCAAGCCGTTGCCTCCGGATACGTCCACCAAAAAGAAGCGTAGGCCTTGGCGAGCTTTGGAGTTAATGACCTCTGTAGACACAGAAATTTCGTATATTCCCGGTCCTTTCAATATATTGGGCGACTGTCCTTCACGTATGCATGCTCCAGGGGTGGATCGTGCGTTGTGGCCGGTGGAGCGTCGCGTCTCTTTTGCCTGGCCGTTGGAGCTCTTGGAGCCTGAGGATGCCTTGCCGTTGCTGGCTGCTTGTGAGCGTAGTGAAGATGGGGATGACCTTGGGGTGCCAGTGGCTAGGTGTGTTCCGGTTACGCAGGAGAAGCGTACCCAGCGTCGCAACCCAGAGTGGTTCAAGCGTGCTATGGAGAAATGGTCAGGCGTGGCCATTGACCTCGTTGCCAATCGTCAGAACGCACAGCTTCCGTACTATGCGTCTGAAGAGCCAGGTGGGGGCACGTGAGGTGGGGACGCTTTAACGGTCCCGTTAGATGAGGTTTTTGGTTATGCCTGCCCGCCTTGGCATTTGGTACTTCGTTTCTTATCTTATTTGAAGTCGTTTGCCGACGCTACTGCAGTGGTGGTTGTGTCTATGTGGGCAGGTGCTACGTGGTTTCCAGTTTTTTTGTAGTATGCTGGTGAACATGCCCTTAGTGATACCGCCTATCGATGGAACTTATTTTCGGGAGAATGGTAAACCTTCGCCGGCTCCGTCTTGGTGTTCACTCATTGGTCTTCTGCGGAGTGACTGTGTTGAACCTCTACAGTAACTCCCTCAGACGTTTTGGCGACGTTTTGGCTTCGCCAGCAAGCCATACTGGCAGTATGGTCAGCAACAGGAGCAGATCTATTTACCGGACCCGCTTACTCGGGGTAGCGAGTGTCTACAGGAAGCAATAGTCCAGCGCGTGGATGAGCCTCGGGAGTGGTTTGAGGACCAGTTATCATTTTTACAGGGACAGCAGGCTTTACAGCAGGAGCAGGTCGACCTTGACGTACCAGGCGACACAGGTGGTACAGATGTTGAATCTCGGCGCTTCCAAGGGGTCCGCCGACAGTGTCAGCAGCCGCGGCCTTACTCCGTTTCCGACTCCGTTGAGGATGATGGACCAAAGGTATCCATTCGTTTCGAGCGCGTCGAGGTCCCTGGTAAGAAACGCAAGGCCCCGCGGTCGTTGTAGGGTGTACTCGCCGCGTTGGCGCGTTGCCGACAGTCCTAAAAGGGGTTCGGATTTCACACCAGGCCTTGCTGAAGGCGATTTGGCGTTTGCATTTTTCGCATATGTGTGCGCGTTCGGTTCGATTGCGTGGATTGGTTCGAGATAAGTTGGGCTTCAATATTCCTATTGAGCTCCTTGAGGACATTGTAAACTCCTGCACAGTGTGCATTGCCAGAAGAGGGGCCATGACTGGCCTTATGCAGGGTTTGTTGTGTCAGCCTCCACGCTCGCGTTTATTTGCTGCTGCATGGCACATCGACTACTACTACCATGCGCAGAATCCTGAGGGGTATTCATACATTATCTTTGCCATCTGTCGCATGGCCAGATTGGCGGCCCTATGCGCCGCCACGAGCATACGTTCGAGGAGGCGAAACGATTTGTAGAGCAACAAAATACACCCGGTGGTTGGCCTAGGGAGCTAATAATGGATGAAGACAGTCCCCTGCTGCATCAGTCTTTCCGTTCATGGTATACTGATCGACATATTGCGGTTCATCCTGTGCAAAAGGGTCGCCATCAGTCCAATGGTATGGCAGAGGTTCTATGTCGCACATGCAATAGGTGGCTGTCTCGGTTTCTTCCTGAAGGTCAGGAAAGTACTTGGCCTGATGCCGTTGCCAAGTTCGTGTCGGCGTATAATGCCACCAAGTCCTCGGTCACAGGTATGGCACCCTATATTCTTGCGACCAGTGGCAGAGTGTTCTCGCACCATGTTGATACTGGGTTGGTTGACATTCTACGCAAGGACCTGAGTGACCTTGCCACTCCAGATCTCTTGGAGCTGGAGCCAAACCCTAAAACCCTAAAACCTCGATATGAAAGTATGGGCTATGGATGATAAAGCCCAGGCACAACAGGCTCGTCAGGCGAACCGTTGGCGAGTGGATGTTCCGATGTTTAACGTAGGCAGAGTGGTGATGTTTCGTCCGGCGCAGGTACCGCACAAATCTCAGCCGGAGTGTGTGGGTCCGGCAGACGTAGTTGCTTTGGACCCTCCGGTGTTCCGTATTGTCCGCATGAGAGCGTCAGGCCAGTTGTATTGCGTGCATATCAGTAATATACGTGCATATCGGGTACCGCTTGGAGAACCTGAGAGAGGTGAAGCTCATCGCTGTTTGAGCAGCACTGTATATTTCAATTGGTTGATGTATGAGTCGCCTTTTAAGGACGCTTCGACTGTTGAACGTAATGCAGTCGTGGATGCTCTCACTGTGTATCCAGAAGCCGCCGCATGGCAGCGAGGTGTTAATACATACTGGGCTCGATGTATTGCGTTTGCACATAAGCACCAGCACCAGTGAGCGGATTGGTTTCGTCCAGAGGATGAGGTAGTAGTCGCTCGGCATGTGGGTGAGCCGTTCGTTGCTCGTTGGCACAGTGCAGTTAACAAAGTATATCGTTTTGCATTTGACGATGGCTTTCGCAAGAATATGTTGGAGGAGTGGCGCGCGAAACAGACAGCTCGCGTGGCCCGGTCGATATGTGAAATACGAATAGTTCTCACTTTAAGCTCGTTCTTTATTTACTACTTACATTACATACAACTGCCAGTAGGTGGCAGTGCTACGTTATCTCTATTTTACAGCGATCCTATTCGCTTTACGAGGTCCCCTTGTGTCATGAGGAACGCTGCAGCCGAGTCTGCCCGTTCCTGGGGGGATGTAATATCCACAAGAGTTCAGTTCGGTACTGGGTCTTGGTACCGAACTGCCGTAGTCTAGCATTTAAGCTCGTTCGTTATTTAATACTTACATTACATACAACTGCCAGTAGGCGGCAGTGCTACGTTATTTCTATTTTACAGCGATCCTATTCGCTTTACGAGGTCCCTTTGTGTCATGAGGAACGCTGCAGCCGAGTCTGCCCGTTCCTGGGGGGATGTAATATCCACAAGAGTTCAGTTCGGTACTGAGTCTTGGTACCGAACTGCCGTAGTCTAGCACACGGAGACAATTCAGCTAGGCTGTCAGGGGGATTTGAGGAGCTGATATGTTCTACTTGATGAGCTGACGTGACAGCTATTAGTTGGTGAAGAAGCCAGGACGACACACTATATCGGACAATGGATGTGAGGATCACTAGATGGATGTGGTGAGCTTCCTAGTAAGGAAGGTGTCGCGGGATTAGGTCGGCATAGTGAGGATGAAGGAAGGTTCAGCTCATCATGGGGATTAAGTGTTAGATTAGACAGGAAGGACATACTTAAGGTCAACACAGCAGGATAGTCTGGGCATTCATGCTGGAAGTGCTCGGACAGTTGTCTAATAAACCGTTAATGAACCTAATGTGATGTGAACTACAATTTATGTACTATTTACGACTCCAGATTCCAGTGATTCCAGCCAAAATATTTTATATATTCCATTCTGGTACATATGGGATATCTCATATCTTAGAGAGAAATATCACATAACTGATAACTGTACGGTACTTTCGTGTCAGCGTTTGTACTTTCGTGTCTAATATTTCTATGACCTAACGTGGTTGTATGTTCACTCTAGCAAAGTGACCAGTACAACGGTTGCGCATTGACTTTTATAGGTCACAAGCATCTATCGTGTACAACGTTAGTTTGGTTGGCGTTGAATCATCGCGCGCCAAGACCCTTCGGTTGGGTCCAGGATACTCATGGACTCACCAAACCCTGTCCTGATTTCCAGGCTGCTCGGTATCAGCAGATTTTACAACCCCCCAAGCCAAAATTAACAAATAACGGCTTCAGAAACCGTGGTAGCACAGACAGAGGTAGAGAAGTGTAGGAAAAGCATGAACAGCAGAAGTATAGAAAGTCACTGAGGTTTAGGGATTGTAGCATCGTACTTTTAGTTTTCCAGTCACGCAAAAGACCAGCACGGTAGGCGGGATCATTAGCAAGGGAATAACCGCACTTAAGGCCTGATTTGATAGCGGTGAATTGGGAATAACAGAGATGCTTTTGAAGGAAACACTGATAACGTTTAGAGAAACGACAGTTATGAATCTTATGATGCTTGCGGTCAGCAAGGGCATGGTATTGACGGAAGGCGTATTAAATTTGTACACACTGGAACTGAACAGCTGCTGCAGGTTAATCCCGGAAAACAGCAGCGAGGGTAGCTTTATCCAACTCAGGTGCCTTGCGGAAGTTGCTCTTGTAGAACAACCAGTTAGTATAAACTGACGCACTGCATGTACCCGCACCCTTAACATGAGGAACGGATATGCCAATGGGTTCACTGTATGCGTTGAACTTCGAGCGATGGACACGGTACGACTTTTCAGCAGCAACATTTTGAATAACATGCATTTCAGGTGGCTCGAGAGCCATCACAGTAGCTGGGCCACCCCAACGGACAGGATCTGAAAAGAGAAAAGGCCTCTTCTGGTGCATAACCTGGCGGCCAACAGCAATTATCGCAGCATCATAGCGTTGGGTATTAGCCTGTTGGGCCTGGGAAAGCTGAGCACGGTAATTGCGTTCCCAAACCACACGACCACGATCAGTTGATGGCAGAATTAATAAGATAGGGGCGGGGAACCATCAGGACAGGAGCAATCTATTTAAGATGGCTTCCAGATTCGTGTAAGAGTATTGGTGAAATGTCCGGCCAGTTATGAGAGTGTAGAGTGAAATCTTAGTGACAGAATTCCCACTTGAATTACGTTGTCACGAGCAAATCTCCAGTCTTGAAGAACCCAAGTAGCTTGGAAGCCATGGCGGTCAACCCAAACATTTCAGGTATCAATCAATTTCTCAACAAGATCATTGCTGCTACGCTCACTGATCGTGGTTAAATGATAAGCAATGCCTTCAGACTTGCATCAATTCCTAAATCACTGAGAATTAAAAGTTATGTCTGTCTTGCCAATTAAATAGGTACCAGTAGTAGCCCATTGTTCCGGTTGGTTCTTAAGCATCTGAAGGACATCAGCGTAGTTTTTAGTCACCTCTGAACGGGGCATAGTGGACCTGACGATTATGCTCTTATATGCGAAATAGCATAAACTTGAACCCTTGAGAAGTAATAAGCATACCCTTATAGCCTAACTGACGAACAGCTCCTAAGTATGGTGCTTGATCAGATTGAGAGAGAGGACAGACCAATCAACGGCCCTGGTTCTGCACCTCGAGTAATGCAAGCTGAACATGTATTCAAGAGCTCAAGAAGAAATTCTTTTAGAAACGTTCATAGGCAATGCTCCTGCAATAAGCGCCGCAATCGGAGTGGACAGACGGAGGTGACCGCGATCTGTATGGACGTGCCATATCACATCAAGATTGACGTGTCATATCACATCAAGGACATCCCTTGGGGGAATAATATATCCATGAACCTTATAGGCTGTAGTGACTAAAGTTGCTAGAGCCTTGTCTAGTGTACTAGCAATGCCTGGAGTGGGGGGTTGAATAAGGGGTTCTATTTTAGTAGTAGGCTGATCAGTTTCAAGTGTTGTAGAAACACGATGGTCGCGGACAGGGGTACGTGGCGGAAGGAGATGGCGCGGAAGGAGATGACCCACTGGTTCACGGGGCGGACCATCCACAATCGCAGAGGTACGAGATAGAGGGTCAAGATACGATATAAGGTGAGCAGAAGACGGAAGGATAGGTGACTCAAGGGCCTCACCATCCGGCATGTCATCATCAGAAGTGGGAGAAGAATCTTGTACAGTTCGAGTGGCAGATAACGATGCAGGGGAATCGATTGATAAGTGACATCCTGTCGATCAGGCGGGGGGTGGGGAGGCTCAAGTGAAGAATCATTTACAGGAAATAACCCATGAGTAGAAGAAGAGAGGCTGCAGAAGTGCGGGACAATTCAGTAACAGGTCGTGTACTTGTGTTCGGCAGCACAGCCTTTTGAGCCCTCGAAACCACAGAGGTGCAGGTGTAGCAGTCCATCGTCGCTTACGCTTTTCTTGAGACCGAAAGATCTGGCATTTTTTTATCACCTACACAAGTGTTTTGCGGCCCAGGA